AAGGCGGGGGGGGGGGGGGGCTTATCGTACAGTTCAAGCACCAATGTACGATGAATACTCTGTTGCATTGTGTATCATATCTGCACTTACACAGAGAGTGCATCCTGATTTGATGGGTGAGTCAATATACGCGTTATTCTATTATACGCTAGACGTTGCCTGCGCATGCTGTAGTACTTCAAAACTCCATGCCCACAATAAAACAGCTGCCTACGGCCCGCTACTCTCCCGTACAAATAATGAGCACCATGAAAAAAACTCGACGGGAAAGTTTTCACGTGTACTTACATTGGGTTTTCCTCGCCCGTTACTTTCAGTGTTGATAAGAAAGCCGATACGCTTTTCGTCGCAGTCATCTGACATTCCCTTTCACTTCATCCGTGCGAAACTGATTCCGTTACACGTAATCAACTTGGGCCGAATCCTCAAAGCTTCACGTTCGTTAGGGCATTTTCTCATTGGGCAGGTAGTTTCGTTAATCATGTCTGGCATTGTGATTGGCTGAAATATTCTCTCGCGAAAATTTCCAGCGTAAGGCGTTTTGTGTATACGAGCCATGGTCTTTAAGAGCATGATGATAACCGAAAAGTATGCATAATATCTGTACTCACACTTTTCAAAGTTAATTTGTTAGCCAATTTTTTAATAAATACTTTTTGTTTGATATTATCACTATCATTTATCAATTTTTGAATACAAAGGAATAACATGATACCCAACAGTACAAGTTATATTGTTTCATATAAATCTGAAACAGGTACCTTACAAATTTTTAGCAGCGTCTAAATTGTCTAGGAAAACGACCGAACAATTAGAGGCATACAGGGCTTTGTTATGTCTCTCTCGTGAACTTTTTATACGCTGTTAATGTTTTCTAACGGATCTATACCAGCTTGCTCAAGCGTCCACTCTTTCAAAATGCGTTACTTACCTCTTCCCAGTGAAATAAGCCAGCTCAACTAACGGCGGGAGAAACGCAGGTGATTCCGATTTCTTGATTCACACGTGGTTTTCTTTGGTCTGCTAGGTTGCCAGCATATTGGGAGCAGAACAGGTTAAACCTGCTTGGAGCAGATGAGAAAGTTGTAGCTGAAAAACAGGCATTTTCTCAGTAGCGTTGGCAACTAACCCATACAAAACTTACTCTTCAAGCTAGAATCAGCCACGCCGTGGTGGTATAGAAGCTAAGGAACTCGGATGCTGACCTGCAGGTTGCGAGCTCAAATCCCGGCTGCAGCAGCTGCCTTTTCGATGGAGGAGATAATGCTGTAGGCCCATGTGCTTAGATTTAGGTGCACGTAAAAGAATCTCAGGAGGTCGAAATTTCAGAGCCCTCCACTACGGCGTCTCTCATAATCATATGGTGGTTTTGGAACGTTAAACCCCGCATATCGATGAAAATGGAATCACTGGCATAAAAAGCTGAAATGCCCGAGGATAAGTTACAAGATCTGATTTTTTCACACTGATATTTAGTTGCATTGGGTCCTCTCACTGCAGAACAAATAACCACCATGACATCATCCAGAGGACGAATTCTTCCTTTACCAGATCAGGGCATGGGCTGACCTTGTGCCAGCATGGTTGTACTTAGGACGGACTACTACTTTTTTAGCTACAATAGATCTGGTGAGACTGGAGACGACCACGCCTGAAATTTCAGGACCAGTGCTAGACTATTTTAGGCAATTAAGAAGACAGGAACCTTCTGGGTTCCCAGAAGAGTGCCTTATAGATTATTTTCTGAAGACAACTGGGTGCCGCCAGAACCCAATGTTTTCTTTTTTGCATATCGCGACATGAACTCATAAGGCCAGGAAACATTGTCTGTGACAACCGAATCGTTTTCATGCGTATGCGTCTATTTTACCACCGTTCGTTTAGTTGCTAAAGATGCAAAACACCAACGTCAACAGGCCAGCATGGCGGCACTCGAACCCACCCGTGAAACAGTCGGCAGCTGACGAGAAAGTCTCGCGTTTTATTTTTGCACCCATGAGGGGCTCGATGAAGCATCACTAAGAAAATTTGACACTCGGTGGTATGGTGCACAGCTAATGGTAAATTGTGAGAGCCAAGACGACGCGTTCACAAGAACTGAATTGCGTTCGTCCTGCTTAGGTCGTTCTTGTAAATGTCTTGTTTTTGCGCTCACAAGTTCTCCTTAGATGAATTGAATTGAATTGAAGTTTATTTCTTTCCGATACAGAAAGAGGAGTAAGAGCTAAAGGCTGTATTGCCTGACAGAGGCTCCTACTCCCATGCGCATTCGGCATGCGTGTACATGTTTGCATGCGATGCAAGTATACAAACAATAGAGCAACCAGAGAAATCAAAACATGCATGTACATAATTGTCACTGCAAATAAAGCATTACAGATAGACATCATACATGACAACTCTTCATGAAAACAAACATATCTCACAGACACTCCAAGATTATATACCTATACGCATTAAATTGTGAACTTTCAAATTGTAGCACAAACTGTATATGCGGTACACGTAGAAAATTACACAGATATATTTTATTGATAAGTTATCGTGGAATGTAATAGAAAGTTCTTTATAAATTTTTTAAAGTGGGGTGCATGAAAATCTATATGATGTTCAACAATGTTCAATAGCCGGGGTACTTGATACTCAAGGTCCTGACGCCAATAGTTAGTTCGCATAAGTGGTGGCATTCTCGTTTGGTGGCGTAATTGATATCGAGGGGGAGAAACGGGCAGGCTACTAACATGGAGCCTGTGCTTTTTCATGCGCAAAAGTAACCTATAATAGTAGATTTGATTTGCTCTGATTAACGAGTGTTTCTCAAAAAGATTGTGTGTGGGTAAATCTCGCGGTCTACCGTGATAGTTTTTGAAAATTCACATTGCCATTTTTACACTTTTATTAATTTGTTGTAATTTTTGGCAGTTGTTGTTCCCCATAATAATGCACAATAGCTAGGTTTTGAGTGAAAGAGGGCGTAGTACATTGCCTTCTTTAGTGTTAGTGGTATAAGGCTACTAATTTTATACATAGAGCCTACTGCTTTACTGAGGTCGCTGCTGAGTTTATTGATATGATTGTCCCAAGAGAGGTTTTCTTGAAACCACACCCCCTAAAACTTTTGCGTTGATACCTGTTCTATCTGCTCTCCTTTTAATGAAACAGTAATCTTGACAGGCAGATGAAGCATCAAGATTCCCTATTATTTCTAGTAAGACGACGTGAAGGTTCCATCTTGTGTTTGTTCAGCCGCTTCTTCTTTCGTGGCCTAGACGACCTGTGGAGGATCGGCCAAGAATTAAGTGGTCTTCAAAAATTTTATAATATATCAGAGTAATAGAGGTTATAGGATAAAAAGCAATGAAAACAGTGGAATGAAATTTAAATACTCAGTATGATCTACAAAACATGACGCTTTTTATAAGTTATAAGTAATAAATTAAATTAACACCCTAAGTAAAACAAATAAATAGAATAAAAGGTATGCATGTGTCGACACAGAAGGATAATATTATAGGTGAGCTCGTTAGTGTTTTGGTTTTATTCAAATAATTCCGCACAGCCACACAAAACTTGGCACTGGTGAACTAAGAAATACAGGCTACAAAAAAGGCATGGGCACGGATAAATTTCTAAAGAGGAGTGCATAAATTGGATATTCGAGCTATAGTGAGTGACCATCCTTTATTGCGATAGCAATTATATGGACACTCTCGGCTGGATTTTGCCGCCGGCGTTGGCGTCGCCGTCATTCCCCACGTATATATATATATATATATATATATATATATATATATATATATATATATATATATATATATATATATATATATATATATATATATATATATATATATATATATATATATATATATAAAAGAAAATAATCCAGAAAAAGACACCGGAATGCGAAATCGAACGTCCGACGTCTTGTCTGTGAGTGCGAGGCGTTAGCTACCGTACCGAGCCACGACGGAGCACGCGCCTTCAACGCTGAAGTGGGAAGCTATTTACATCTACCACTTACCGCTGGCGATGGCCATTTCGCGGGAGCTATCGTGTTTTCAGCATTACCAGCGAGAACGCGTGTCGCCCGATCCTCAAAGCGTGGTGGTGCGCACTCTCATATCCCACGCGTACGTTGCCCCGCGGAGAGGGGTGCGTTAGACGCTCACGAGTGCGCGTGGTTATCTCGCTTTGGGGAAAATCATACGCCTTGGGCTTTCACCGGAACGATTTTGTTGTAGTTAACCGGTGCACAAAGGTCACAGCACTCACTGCGGAGTCTCCGTTTGCGAAAAGGGGCGCTTTTCAGACACAACGAAGTAACAACTGAGACGCTTATTCGCGGTCATCTGGACGTGTTAGTATGTATAGTGCGTCATTTTTGCGCGAGAAACGCGGGGCACGTTTCGATCTGCTTGCCAATGGTCGCCTGCCTTTCCAATATGTTGCAATCAAGTTCGATGCTTTGACTTTGCGGCCAAGTTGTGACTATTATTTTATTCTTCCTCTTCTTCTCCCTCGATGGTCATGTGACGTCACTTTGCTCCCCCCTTCCCAATTGTCGATCAGTTGCGTCGTGGGCACGTTACAGTGGACGTAATCATCATGTCATCTGTGATCACGTGAATTTGGACTGTCCATGTTGACGTTGATGGTTACTTGTCACGTTTCATGAAGAAGCTCAGGAGGTGAAAGATGAACGAAAGGCAGTGAGGTCAACCAGACGCTCGCCCATGTTGCTATCCTACACAGAAGGAAGGAGAATAAGGGATGAAAGTATAAAGAGATAGTAGGAAGGCATCAGAACTCCAGCTTTTGCCTTTATAACGTACTGTAGGGGCACGTAGAGATATAAATAGACTGACCTGACCGCAATGCTTGTTTAATCTGAGGTGTATGGTGGCAAGCGATAGGCTCCCGCCGAATTCAGGATGTGCGCGTATCGTAAGGCGTCTTCATGTGTGTGTAACCAAGATCATTGTTTCACCATTGTGCAGAAGTGCTGGCCTTGGAAAGAGGAGGAGACTTCGAGGGAGACATTCTTCTGCCTCAAAACAGGCTTACTGACGTAAGTACTCTCTTTCTCTCTTTTTCTATCCATCTCTCCTATTCCTTCACGGTCAAAATTATTTGCTAAATATTTCATGTATATTTTCAATGGTGGCGCTAAGATCAGGTGGTCTATTCCTCACTTCTGTCCCACATTTGTAAATATATCTTAGGTTACAGCGGAAAAAGAAAGCTTCCGCAAGTTAAAAATAGCAAGGTTTCAGTTTTAAGAGTAATAAGTTGTGAGCGTTGGGAATACATAAGTGATCACGTGGCACGTACAAATCGGCAGTTCTACAAACAATGGGAATCGATGATGTGCGAAGCGCGAATAAAAAAGGGTAATATGTCACTTTAATATCAGCACAACGTTACAGGGTCAACGTGTAATATACCGTGCATGACATGCATGTCATGATTATTGTAATTGCGCTTGGCATTTGTGTTCGTCGTCCATTCACGTCACGTAACATCAAATATGATATATTCCAAGCCAGCTAAACGGCCGAGAACGCACTATGAGCGTAGCATATAGTCATAATTCATGTTACATATAGGTCATGCTTATTATGCTTGAACGTGTCGTTTACCTTCGTCATCCATTCACGTCACGTAATACCCAATTTGGTAATGGGATGCTAGCGAAATGGCCGCGAGCGCATCATGAGCATGGTGCGTAGTAATGTTCTTACATGACACGCATGTCATGATTATCATGTTTGCACCTGTCATGTGCCTTCGTCATCCATTCACGTCCCGTAACACCAAATTTAGTATATGTGAAGCTAGTAAAATGACCGCAAACAGACTATGAGCATAGCAGGTATCATGTTTTACATGATACGCATGTCATGGTTATCATGTTTGCACGTGCCATTTATTTTTATTGTCTGTTCGCTTCACGTAATACCAAATTTGGTATATGTGAAGCCAGCCAAACGGCCGCGAGTGCTATAAGCGTAACACGTAGTCATGTTTTACATGACACGCATAATATGGTTATCATGTTTGGACTTTTATTTACCTTCGTCCATTCACGTCACGCAATACCAAATTTGGTATATGTGAAGCTAATGAAACGGCTGCGAGTGCTTCATGAGCGTAATATGCAGCCATGGTATAACGTGACGCGCATGTCATGATTATTATGTTTGAACCAGTCTCATACTTTCGTCGTCCATTCGCGTCACGTAATACCATATTGGGTGTATCTTAAGCTAGCGAAACGGTCACGAACCTGCTATGAGCGTAGCACATATTCACGTTTTACATGACACGCATATGATGATTATTATGTTCAAACTTGGCATTTACCTTCGTCCTTCATTAATTTAAGTAACGTAATAGGAACTTTAGTAAATGTGAAGCTAGCAAAATGGCCGCGAGTGCATTATGAGCGTGGTATGTGGTCGTGTTCTTACATAACACGCATGTCATTATTTGCACGTTAGGGCCTCTCGCTTATGCTCACCATGCAGTCATGTGATACCATACCAGTTTTGCAATATATCACGGGAACGAAAACACCGCAAGAGCAGCAAGACCATGACATGTAGATCATTGCTTTCAGGACATACATATCATGATTTTGATGTTATGACTAGTAATTTATGCTCGTCATGCAGCTATGTTATGTCATGTCTATTTTGGTGTAGATAACATTATAGAAACGGCCAGGAGAGCTAAAAGGGGTGGGTGGATAGGAGGAGGAGGAGGTAAGTTTATTTACAGAAAGGCAGAGAGGTCGGCCTGAGCGATAGCTTGCTCTAGCCTGCTACTCTACACTGGGGGAAGGGAAAGGGGAAAAGAAAGATTAATGGATGACGATGGTGAGATAGAGAGGGGAGTATGTAGTGTTCTTTCTAGCTGAGACACATTTTATAGCCGCGCACATGGTCCAGTTGTTTCTAAAAAGATAATAACTGCTCTTGTGACCGGAGTTGCACTGTTGGTGTCTGGCCAAGGGCCCAACATTGTCTCATCAGTTAATGACCTACTGCGATATAGTTCAGTAGAAGAAATCAGTGTTTGTCGTTCACGTGCGTATGCTGGGCAGACACAAAATATGTGCTCAATTGTTTCTGGCACATCACAGTGTTCACAATTAGGACCGGTGTCACTGCGACCGATGGATGATATGTGCGTAACGTCTGGTGTACGCTACACCAAGACGAATGCGGTGGATTATACTTGTGAGTTGCTGTTTCAATTTAGGAGGCTTGCGGAACCTCATTTCCGGGTCCCATTTGTGAAGTCGCTGGTGTCGCCGTTCCGGTTTGGTCCAGTGCTGAAGTGTGTAGCTGCGCCTCACGCAGCGAAGCAGGGCGTTCGTGTCAGCTGGTGAAAACGCAATGCGTACTTCAGGGGCACTGCTTAAGGCATTTTTAGCTTCAGCGTCTGCCTCTTCGTTTCCCATCACGCCGAAATGAGCGAGAATCCACTGGAAAGTTATAAGATGGCCATTTGTTGAAGCAACCTGAATAAGCTCTGTGATTTTTGTTGCCAAGCTGTAATACAGACCTTGCTTCATGATGCAATTAATGGTTTGCAAAGCGGGTTTGGCATCACAGAAAATCGTCCAGGTTCGAGGTCGCTCTCCGGAAATAAACCTTATTGCCTCTCGGATAGCGACAAGCTCTGCGGCAGTTGATGTGGTTTTATGGTCCACTTTGAATTGTCGAGCGATATTCATGTCTGGGATGATAAAGGCTGCGGCGGAGGTATTTAGCGTGGTGGATCCGTCGGTGTACACGTGCAGAGAATCACTGTACGTTGTATAAGTGTGATATAGGGTCAGTTGTTTGAGGCCAACAGAAGAAATGAGCGACTTCTTCGTAATTCCAGGTATCGTAAAAGAGATAGGTGGTTTAGGCAGGACCCATGGAGGCACTGCAGGGGCATTTGGCAGAGAAAACCTTGATAGTATAATATTTTCATGCCACGATATTACTCTTGAGAAACTGCAATCTGGGTGAGTGGTGGGTTGTACTGACAGTGGGTGCTGTCTGTGTCTGCTCAGTAATCGGAGGTGAACTCTAAGTGGCTCGCAGAGCATGTATACACTGATGGGACAAGCCCGAGCCTCTGCGATTGTCCCATTTGTTGAAGTACAGCGCGGTAGACCCAAGCATCTTCGTAAGCATTGAGCTTGAACACTCTCTAGTGTCTTCACACAACTAGGTCTCATATTGGAAAGCACCAGCATACTGTATCGAATGTATCCCACAAATAGAGCATTGTACAATTGAAGTAGCGATGATTCTGATGGGCCCCATCTTGCTCCTGCTACGTGGCGAAGAATGAGAGCAAAGCTCTTCAATTTAGATTTAAGTACTGCGACACGCCTCGTCCACGATAGATCTCTGTGTACGACAACCCCAGGGAACTTGTGGTGTGTTACAGCAGGTATCGCTGTCCATTAATAAATATCGGGTATTGCGACATATGCTTGCACGTGAACGCAAGCACTGCACATTTGTCGATTGAAAGAGTGAGCCGCTGACGTCGTAGATATTTGTATGTGATCGTCACTGCACGCTGTAGTAGAGCTCGCGATCGCGGACGAGTAGTTCCGGATGCCCATTTGCATATATCATCAGCGTATGCAGTGATCTTCACCGTGCCGGGAAGTTCTGCTGCTAGGCCGATAATCGTGAGAATAGGATCGGGCTGAGAACTCCTCCTTGGGGAACATCACGATGAACCTTATATCGATCGGTGTCTCCGTTACTTGTCGTCATGTAAATGGTGCGGTCCCTAAGGTAGCTAAAAATCCAAGCGTACAGTAGTCCACCGATGTCGAAATCTTCCAGTGCGTCAAGGATCGCGTAATGCAGCACATTATCGTAGGCACCCTTAATGTCTTAGAAGACTGCCGCCCCTAGTCTGCGTCGGCTTCTTTCCTCTTCAACGCTGGTGATCAAGTCGACCACACCATCAATGGCAGATCAGCCTCTTCTGAAACCGTTCATAAGTGCAGGAAAGGAGTTGTTGCTCTCTAGAAGCCACTCTGATCGTGCCAGTACCATTCTTTTCATCACTTTTCTGATGCAGCTGGCTAACGCCATTGGTCTGTAGGAGGAAAGTGCATAAGGACACTTCCCCGGCTTTAGCAATGCAATAATGTGACTGCATTTCCAATTAGCTGGGACTTCTCCTGACTCCCTTGAGGTGTTATAATGAGATAACAGGACACGTCGTGCTTCTGTATCAAGATGGTTGAGTGCAGCATACGTGATTCCGTCAGGTCCTGGTGCCGATGATCGGCGGGAGGCAGAAATCGCAGCGTCAAGCTCATGTATTGTAAAACGTACATCAAGGCGCTCGTCAGACGATGGAGGCGCAATAGTAGTAAGAAGCTCATTAGTGGCAAGACCATCAGTGGTGTCCACGATGAGGCTACAGTAGTCGCTGGCTATCTCAACTTCTGTTCGTCCCTGATGTAGAGCAACAGCTTGAAATGGTTGACGTTGTAGGGGAGTGTTCTGCAAACTTCGTACTACCCGCCAGATCGTAGATAGAGGTTGCCTGGGGTCCAGAGATCCACAGAAATTTCTCCAACGTTGCCTGTCAATCTTGTCAAGATGCCGAAGAACATGTCGTTGAGCTCGACGACAGGCGGAAAGGTCTGAAGGTGACTTTGTTCGTCTGTATCGGCGTTCGGCACGGCGAACGATTGCACGAAGGGCCTCGTATTGGGAGTCAACTGCTAATATCTGCATCGGTAGGTTAACCTGTTTGATTGTGTCACGCAGTGAAGAAGCAATGATGTTCTCTACCTTGGATGGATCAGTCGTGTGCTCACAGCCAGACTTGACCGATGCCTTGAACAGTGTCCAGTTGGTTTGACGGATGTAGCGTGTGTGCGTGCGGCGAAACCACCTGAACTGAACATAGGTTGGAAGGTGGTCACTGCCGCGAGTGTCCAAATCTGTGCACCAACATGCGGAAGACAGAAGGTTTCTGAAAACGAAACAGTGGTCGAGGCAGCTGCTGTAGGACGTGCCACGAACAAATGTAGGTGATCCGTCGTTGAGTACGCTTAGTCCATAGTTGTATATAAAATTGGCTAAATCATTTCCGCGATAATTCGTTGTAGTGCTACCTCAGAGAGGATGATGTGCATTAACATCGCCGATCACAATGTGTGGCCTTTGTGCTGCTTGAAAAATGGTCCCCAGGTGGAAGCGGTCCATCTGTGCGCTTGGGTGTATGTATCCTCTTATTACGGAGAATGTTCGCTTTTTATGTGTTATAGTCAGGCTCACGTAATCATTGCTGGTATGCGACGCGACTTCATGTCTCAAGAACGTCAAATCACGGCGTATACAAACAAGAACTTTGCTCGTACGTTGACCACTGCGGGACCAAATCTGGATACATCCAGATATACGAAAAGGTGAAACCATATTCGGTTCACATATAACGATAACAGGAAATTGATATTTAAAAACCCATTGTCTGAAGTCTGACAGACGGCCACCTAGGCCACGAGCATTCCATTGCATAACAAGCGACTGGCGCATGCGTTCTTCGAACATGAGTGCCATGTTTACTTACTGAAGAACCAGTAGAAGAGGCTCCAAAACCTCAAGTAGCTGCACAGCCGCCTTAGTAGCGGGAGTGTTTAGGCTGCTGAGAATCTTACGCATCGAACCCATCAAATTTTTAAGCATAGCCTTGACATCTGTGTTGTTCATCTTCTTGTTTTCTTCATTGGGGGTAGGGGCTTTATGTGATGATGGCGCTACCGTAGCTTTTGACGGTGATGAAGGCCACTGAGTCTCCGACATGGGGAGAGCCAATGACTGGTTACATTGTACTTGCGTGGACTGTATTGGCATTTGAGCATCTGTATCCTCCTTTCTGGCCGACAAAGTAGGCTAGGAGGTGGTGAGGGCACGGTTTTGTGTGTCGAATTCGATAAGCTATGAGCACTGCTGCTTCGCTTGTGTCGATGTCGCGAACGATGTTTACGGCGCCGTACAGCCCTTGCAGCTTCTCTGTGAGTGGAGTGGTCTCGAACCATCTTCTTCAGGATACTAATTTCAGTCCTCATTTTGCGACATTCCTTTGATGTTGCGTCGTGGGCGCCTGAGCAGTTTGGGCATTTGGCCACAGCATTGCAGTTATCACCATCATGAGGGCCACCGCAATGCTTGCAGGTTACTGCACCCTTGCAAACTGCACTAACGTGCCCAAATTTCATGCATTTATGACATTGCAGAGGTTTTGGTACGTAAGAACGTACCGAGTGCCTCACGTACCCAACTTTTACATGTGTGGGTAACGTTTCCGACTGAAACACTACTTTAACACATCGCGTGCGTCCAAAGCGGTGGAAGCCAAGCACGGGAGCTGACGATGACAGCAGTTTCTCGGGACTCGAGTTTGTTGTCTCCTCATCCACATCGTATATAACTCCTGTTGTCGTTTCTTCGTCGTACGCAAAGAATGCGCGAGCCGGAATGTTTCCTAATCGAACAATCGCTTTCAGCGTGTCCAATAGGGCTTCGTAGTGACCTCCACGGACAGTATGTTCTTTCGGGTATTTATGCATATTTCTATGACTTTCCCTGGAGCAATGAGCTCAAAGTACTCTGACAGGCTCTGCCTATTTAGAGAGTTCAAGATGTCTGTCTTCGATGTCAGCACATACGAAATGGTGTACGACCGCATGCTACTCGCCTTTGTCTGTGCTTGCCGGCTAATGGGCGATGTCCGACTGATTTTCCTCTTCAGGCGTCGGCTTGGTACGACCACGTAGTCGCTGTCCGAAGCCATATCTTCAACGGAGGAGTCATCAGAATTGTCAACGTGGGCCACGCTTGGGCCGGGGTGAAAACTTGCGTCAGACGCACTATGATGTGGTCGGCCCGGTTCCGGTTGCTGGATGGGGTTTTGATCCCCCATTCTAAGAGGGAACGCCCCTTCGAGGTGTGTCGATTATTGAAAAATCTTGCCAAAAGAATTAGGAAACTCACAGAGCTCGAAGCAGAGGCTGTTCTCTGTGACAGCTTCTTCTTCTTCCCTTTGGGTGGGTAAATAGATAGATAGATAGATAGATAGATAGATAAGGGCGAAGTCACTGGAGATCTCTAAGAAATACTTCACATTTGAAAATGCGACACGGGACAAGAGAAGGGCCGAAGGGCAGAGCCCCTTTCCAGCCAGATTTTACCACGAGATTGTCGGATGTACCACGAGTGATCAGGTGTTCATGCACCTGATCACTCGTGGTACATACGACACGTAAGGAAGCCTACAGGTCATATCAATATTTGCACGATTTCGTGGTTGAGGCCGTCGATTGTAGCCTGCTTTCTCCCGTTGGTCTCACAAGGAAAAATGCACAGTACTTTCGTGCGAGCATGCACCTCCTCCCCATTTCACCTTTTCTTTCGCAGGGTTGGCGGGTGTTGGGCAAGGCAAAGTGTTTTCGGCAACTTCCTTCGTTGGTCGAGTTTTTCATTAGTGTATATGTCGCTCCCCTGTCCACCCTGCCGAGTGTAGAGTTGGATGCTGGAGCAAGCTGAAGCTCAGGAGGACCTTGCTGCCTTACCGTAAATAAATTATTTCTCTCAAAACAAGCCTCATCGTAGATTAACTAACGACAATGAAGAGCAGCTGTCAACACACCATACCAATGGTTTCCGGCGTTCCAGGGTTAAAAAAAGGAAAGTAAACAGCTCAATTAAAATTCAACATCACTGGTGCACAGCTGTAACTATTATCAAAAAGCTGCATGCTTAGAGCCTTTGAGCTTTAAACTATGATGACACTGGTCCGACTGAGTGCAGGTATGGCGCCGACTTGGTGCCCTCTTCAGATGATTAAAAGAACAGCCTCCTCCCACTGCCCCCCTCCCTGGCTTTATCACGCACACGCCTTGGCGTTCAACTGCTAATGTGGCTGTCTTCTCCAATGCGCAGCGCAATGCCGTTACGAAGAAAGAACAGTTGTGGCCCGGGGGAGTCATTCCGTACGTCGTCGACCCTCAACTGAGTGAGTGAAAAAAATATTTGGAATGTCGAAACTGATTGTTCGTTCCCTGCCTGTCTCACGACTAGTCCCAACATTTGTTTCTCGTCTTCGTGCCTACACGTTCAATGGGCCGTAGAATATTACCAGCGCTATATTGCAAGCACCCTGATGGAATCTCGATAAAGTGAGGTGTCTTGGAATCTGTCTCCTTAACCCAACGCTCGAATGTGCGCGACACTCGGCGTGTCTTCTTGGGCCTTTGATGAAGGCGCTTGTCTTTCATCGTTGTAAACGCTCGTGCGAACGGTGCACGAACGCCCAGGCCCAGCGTGACGACATGTTGCAAATGTAACACCAAGAAATGAAAACAAAGAAATGGTAAATGATCCAGAACAACGTATTGATCGCAGCATATCAGGGCGTGCTTATCTCTGACGCACAAAGCATCTTCGTTCATTACTAAGCCCAATGATGACATGAAAGCATATCTCAGGAGAGAAAAGAATTGTACCATTCTTGTACTAGTGCATGGTCGCCTACAAGATAATCACAAACCATTACCGACTGGAAAGAGCCTGGTATTCTCCCACGCACTACACATTTATCAAGCAGCGAGCGGTGGCCTGGCGGCTCCTTCAAACAAACAAGTACCTGAACCCAGTGGCCTATAGCCACTATTTCCCAGGTCAATACACCGACAGGTGCAAATTACGTAAGGAAATGGCGGGCCTACCTCACATCCTGTGGACCTGTCCAAAGGCGGTCTGACAGGATCGGACAATTGATAATGATGAGTAGTGTAAGACTGTGCTGCTCATCTCAGACCCAGAGGAACAGCTCTGCGCAATTCAACAGGCCGAGCACGTCGCCAGGGCCCAAGGGCTCATAGATGACACCTATATAGGCGTAGGATCCGCCTCACCGAATCCGCCGCTTTTTTAGAAGCGAAGCTCCTTAAGGCAAGGGCTGAGCGTCCCGTCGCAATCGTATGTAGCCACCTCTCGTTAGTTCTTGAACCGGCCGTACAGGGTGGTTGGTACTTGTACATATAATGAAATGCATATACGCAGAGCAATGCAAAGGGTACGTACTAGAGGACGTTACTTGTAGTATGATAAATAATAAAAATCACAGCATATCCACGGAAGGAATGATGATGAGTGGGGTGAAGCATCCGTCCTTCCATCCGTGCTTCCGGCTGCCCGTTCGTTCTTGCTTCCATCTATCCGTGCATCCGGCCATCTGTCCGTCCACGCGTCCATCTGTTCATCCATGCGTCCATCCGTGCGTCCGTTCATTCGCGCATCTGTCCATGCGTCCACCCGTCCATCCTCTCGTGCATCCATCCGTGCGTTCGTCTGTCCATCCGTCCATGCGTCCATCCGTGCGTTCGTTGATGCGTCCGTCGATCCGTCTGTACACCCATCCGCCCATACGTCCGTCCGTTCATCCGTGCGTAAATCCGTCCATCCGTGTGTATGTCCATTCATGCATCCGTCCATGCGTCCTCTCGTGCGTCCATCCGTTCGTGCGTCCATCCCTGTGTTCGTCCATGCATCCATCCGTTCGTTCATGCGTCCGTCCTTGCGTTTGTTCATGCGCCCATCCATCCGTCCGTCCCTCCGTCCTTTTGTCCCTGCGTCAAACAAACAGACAGACAGACAGACAGACAGACAGACAGACAGACAGACAGACAGACAGACAGACAGACGGACAGACGACGAAGGGGCGCAACGAGCGGATGATTCACGGTTTGCCGATAAAAGTAAGACACGCGCAAGGCGGCGGCGGCCCGCGCTTGAAGACGGAACCTTTATGTGCGAGAACGCAAGGAAATAGGAATAACGTCACACGAAGACGTTGGTGATCACGTGTTCGTCGGCGGCGCCATGCACTAGGGGGCGTGGTGTAATAAAATAAAAGCCGTTTTGGCACACGCGCGCGTTCATAAGGTCGGCGGATGGACAAGGCTGCAGAGCGGCGTGCGCGCAAGACGGCGGTGGCTCGAAGACGGAACCCCGATGTGTAAGCAGAAAACCGATGCGCGAAGAACCCCGATGCGCGAAGCAGAAGCATGCCGTGAAGCTGCGTGGCGGCGCCGACAAGATCCCGGCGTACGAGAATGGGAGGCCCAATCGGTGCGGCAGTGGCGTGCGGACCCAGCTTCGCTCCGCTCTCCATCATTCACTCCGCGGATATGCTATCATTTTTTAAGTAATATTTCCCCCCTGCTCCATAGCGCGAACGTATTCATTGCAAAAAGCCTCATTACCTTCCACAGCATTGCACCTGATATAAGAAATGGAGTATAGGTAAGCTCGCTGAGAAGCTGTGGCTACACGTTCAATACACTCATCTGCTGCTTCTTTTAAAATGCGGAGCATTTCTTAGTCGCAAGATGCCGTGCTTCGGCGTCGACGGCGGCACTGTCCACATCCGCACTGCGCATGCTCGCGCCTCGTGCCGGCCCAGGAAGACAGCCGCAGAGCTGTCAGTCGCCTCCCCTTCTCTCGCCTCGCAGGGCCAACGCAGGCAGCGCCTGCTATTAAAACTCGCGCTGCACAACCTTTCGCTGGCGACCCTGTATATATAGACACTGGATCGCGCGTGCGAAATTCAGTTAAGCGTGGCTTTATTTGGCTTTGGCTTGACGTTGAAGGCAATGCGTCTCCTTCATTCAATAAATAAGAATAATAAAGACGAAAAAACAATTAAACATTCCCAAACGATACCAAACTACGCAATGTTGACGCTATACACCCCACTCTCTGCGACGCATTTACTCCGCTCCCCCATGATAAGACGCGGGGGCAGTTTTTTAAATCTTTAAGCCTTACGTATTCGGTTAGATTGGTAGCCATCCATAGCAGCAATTGTCAGTAAATAAAGCGTGGTTAACAAGTGAGCATGCCTTTTAAAAGGGCTAAAGGATAGTGATACCTTACAATTACTGTATATCGATCATGGCCGGATCGTTAAATCGTTTACTTGCATTCATCATTTCATTATATTTAGCTGACTCGTTCATTTCTAGCCTCACAGCTGTCATCGATGAGCCATCTTAGTGGGGAAATCGGGAGTGAATGAACAACTCTTTTCTTTATTGTGCCACAGCCAGATTGCAGAGGCGTGCGGGCATTCCAAAAGATAGCGCGCCTCTTCAGGCAGCCACGGTCGGGCACAACCGAATGAAGCCAAGAGTCAGTAAAGCTGGGGCATAGGAGATAGGCATACGTGACACGATTTGAATTATTAGCTGCCGTGTTGTAATTACGGCGTGAATAAAAATGCAGTAAAAGGGAGGAAAGACTAACTTTTCATCGCTATGGTCTGGATTTCATCACGGGGCGTGACGTGGACGAAGGGGCAGTGCGCATCTTCAAGGAGAAATTTTATTTGGCCTAACTCGTGGCTGTGAAACGGGAACTCAAATTACAGTAAGCATTGAGCGCTGTACACTGATATCGGCGCAAATAGCGTCGGCCGCCGATAAAACTGGCAAGTGGCCAAGCGCGCCGAGTAGGCGAGGGGCTACGCTAAGCCGTGCTCTCTCTCTCTGTCTCTCTCTCCATATGGAGGAGGGTCCTACGCCGCGTCAAAAAAGCACGCGCCGACGCTCTGCGACGGATACGTGAGGTCAGACCTCGAGGTCTCGTGTAGCATTCGCACGCGGCGGCCGCTTTTTTGTTGGAGTTTTTTTTATCTTTTTATCAGTACCACCCTTGCATCGCCTAAAGTTCATCACAGTCACCGACAGCCTGTTCAAGTGACCTTCGTGCGTGAGCAGTCTTTGATAACTAATTGAACTTACATTTGAGGGCTCTAAAAACGCCGTGCACTAGGCGCCGATCACGTGGTATATTAACGCGAATGCATGAAAGAGCTCGTTTTGCAGATATTCCGGCGTCGGCGTCATTGGCAGTGAGCAAAAATTTATCATCATTGTGTGGCCGAAAAATCGGCCATTTTTGCATGACTGAGAAATCAAGAAAGATGCTAATAAAACAATTCATAACAAATTTGGGGTCTGAGTGGGAATCAAACCCGGGTTGTTGGTGTGGCAAGCAGGCGTTCCGCATAAAATCATAACCATCGGCAATGGTTAACTGCGCACAGCATACTTCATCCGAACTCATGCAAACACACTCAAGTGTTCCGAAAGGGAAGCCACTCCCAAACGGGCTCCAAAGTTTCAACAACACTGCGCATTTTAGCAGCTGCTTTTCGAAAGACGGATCTCGTAGACCGTGCTGGCTCGGCATGTCTGTCTATCAATCAGAGCCACGCCTCTTCTTGTGAATACAGTGAAAATAACTTCCTCTGCTTGGTAATGCAGTGAAAGTAACCTTAATGCTTTACAAACACACGCGTCCTGTGTACATGTTTCGTAATAAAACATGAAATACTGCGTTATAATGTGTAAGACAAGCGTACATTGCCATCCGGTGTAAGAACATGAAATTATCGTGACTTCATAGTTTAAAGCCAGTCACCCACTGCAAAAGAACACACGCTACTGCACATTTAAGGCCACGTGGTGGGTGCATAGCAACTTCGGAAAGATTTCATACATTAAGTGTTTGAAGTACACTCTAGGAACAGAATATCGTTCAACTGCTGAAGGCGAAGCTTAAGGGTCCCCCATTTTTTATTTACCGCACGTTAAACAAAGGTTGCGCAAAAATTAAGCAGTGCGGTTACTTTGCCGCAGAGTATATATTTTATGATTTCTTCATAACCAGTACAACTTTTCTCTAAAAATGTTTCCTCCGGGTCACTGTTCAAAAGGTTTATTAAGCATTTTTTGTTAAGTGTCGAGCTTGGTGGATCGAAAAAGAAATATTCCGACGTGCTTTGCATGATTCAGAACAATACTGGGCTAATTGGAACCGCGTAGCGCTCATAATCAACTTTTTATTGCTTGATGCTTTTAGCTGAAGCACCCAGTACGTATAGACATATATTTTTGTAGCACATTTCCTTCTGTGTGCTCATGTTCTGTTTCATGGAAATGTTCTGTT